CTTTCCGACTTGTGAGCCAGCTGGCCATTTGATCTTCATTGTGGAGCCAGCCAGCGAAGTGGGAAGCTGTTGATGTAAGTCTACAACAGGCTATAGGAAATCTTTTTCGTGACTCACACGCAGTGGAAGTTTGTGACCCGTATAGAAGAATTGACTGACTGACCTCGCATTGGTATTGAAAATGCGAATCTTGTTCCTTATGCTGAGTGACAGCGGAAGATTTCCAAACTGGTTTCGCGTTGATGAAGGCATATCTTACCTTTCCGATTCTGACTGGCTTTGACATCTTTGTCCGTTCCGCATGTAGTCAAAACGATACTTCCCAAACAAGTGGAGGCAACCTCTTCCGCTGATGGTGATTGGTGCTGGTTTTTTACGCTGTTGGTAGTGGTTGTTTATCTTCATCACCTCCATCTTCTCTATATTCACCTGAAGTCCTGTCTTCGATGCCTGGCTTTTCAGATAGTTTGTTGGTTTTCGCCTGTAAGTCTTCGAGTCTGTGTGACATTAGACATATATCATCCGCATGCGAAATCCAGATCTTCTAGAGTCTTCTTGTCGGTCAGTGCAGTGTATTTCCTATCTCCTCGCTCCCCACAGTTTGACGCATAATCCACTCCACCACAATTAAAAACACCATCGGTGATAATAAACAGCCAGCGTTGTCTTTCTCCTATATTTAGTTCGAACGCCTCGCTCAGTTTTCTGTTGTGGATCACCTGATACGTGGCATTGTCATATAGTCAGCTGTTGAATGAGGTTGATAAAGACTTGATCATTGCACGTTGTAGCGTTGAAGTAGTTCCCAAATTACTTCTCGGTCTATTTAGCACTTTCTGAACACCCACTAAAAAGTGTGCAACTAAGAGAAAGAGAATCTTTGAACAGCGTAATCAAGAGACACCTAACTGACACAGGACATCAGGTGGGATAATAATTTAAAAAAACACGCTAAAGCCATTTGAAGATCGTATAGACCATCACTATTAAGCGGTTAAAAACTCATTTAAGTAATCAAGAAAAGCTGTGGCAAGTTTTTCTTCACCTAAGCTCTTAACCTTCACTTGATTATATCGCCTTTTATTAAATGAAAATGTTCATTTCTTTCTACTCTCTTTTGGGTATACCACTCATCAAACACTATGCTTCATTTGTCTGATTACCGACAAAATAAACTTTTTATGTGCCCTTGTTCATTAGCAATTTTCTAATAACTTACGTAATCTCATAGTTTATGCACTCGAATATCTTGCCGCCAACTTTGCTCCACACATTTTGTTTTTTTTGTCGAGGAATTTTAATCACGCTACATACATAAGTACAGAAATATTTTTACATTATACTAACTCAACACTTTGATCTATGCATACCATAATTATTCTATTAATTATTTTTCAACATTCCATTTTCAATGAACTTAAGTATGTAAAAGTGGTAATAAAACCATTAAGTAACAATATTCACGTTGTAAACAGTTGATGAGATACTGATGAAATAAAATACATCAATTTTATCACCCTGCTTCATGCAAGTTAAGTGAATGATCATCAACTTTTTAATAAACCACACTAAAAGTGTTTAAACCTTCTTACATTGATTCGGATCATTCAATATTTTTTAATTCATAAAAACTCCCTATTCGAACATGAATGGAGAGAAGACTAGTATTTCAGTGAAGAGTCTCTTTTCGGCGAATTCATTTTCACAGTTGTACAATCGTAAACATATATATGGTTATTTTGTATGTGTGTACATTCAATTTTTGCAAACGAAAATACAACTAGTAAGTTTTTGGTGGATTTACGTAATACCAAAAGCTTTCAAAGGAATTGGATGTAGATACAAGAGGGTAGTAACAAAAGTGATGAGTTGTCACAAGCGATTGCTATAGAAGAGTTACGTAATAACATGAACAGTTTGATGAAAAACTCGTGTATTCCCTTAAAACTCTTACTTAATTACATATTTTTATTTTGTTTCCATGTACACCCTGAGTACAACTCTTTCATTAAAATTTTCATGTTATTACGTAACTCTTCTATAGCAATCGCTTGTGACAACTCATCACTTTTGTTACTACCCTCTTGTATCCACATCCAATTCCTTTGAACGTTTTTTGAATTACGTAAATCCACCAAAAACTTACTAGTTGTATTTTCGTTTGACAAGTTTAATGTACACACACATACAAAATAACCATATATAATTTTGCGATTGTACAACTGTGAAAATGAATTCGCCGAAAAGAGACTCTTCGTTGAACTACTGGTCTTCTTTCCATTCAATATTTGGCTATAATTTTAGACATTTCATTATAAAAATATCACAACCTAAACGCTTATTAGCCTTATTGTTACGGTTGCTTTTTCATGTTCTAACCAACATGCTTAACAGTTTTACCAGATAAAAAAATCGCAGTCATCAAAAAGAGAAATTCGATGAAAGATAAAGAACCAGTTTAGTTATTATTAACCGACCAGTAATCGCAATAATTCAAGACAATCAAATAGTAAGTAGTTGTGGCGTGTGCTACTGATGAGATTTATCAGTAGTATTTTTAAAGTGGCGTTCATCAGAATAAAAATATCAAATAAGGGAGAGGTAGATTTGATGTAGAAGATTCGTCAGCTTCCCCGCCAACAATACCGAGTCTCTGTGCGGTCCTAGGTTCGCGGCACGGAACTGCTGTATCACCAGCTGCCTGTCCGTAGAACTCTGCCAACTGTTGTTCAACCAACACTTTCTAGGTCTCTTCATCTCCTGACCACTCCACAGTGTATTACACCGCCTTCACCGTCAGACCCCTGATGCCCACCAACTCAGCGATGGCATCAAAGTCCCACAAGAAGCACCTGATGTCTCCTTCCTCGAAAGCAGCCGGCCATGGAATCTGAAGACAACAACACCAATTGCAACGGTAGAAGACCAGAAACTTAGTACATTATTATTATTCCTTATTGTTAACAGAGAAACAACGTCCTCTGATTGGTTGTTTTCTTGCTGAAGGTTATTCTGTCATCTCTTTGTTGCCGTTTTTTAGAAAGTCAGGCCATACATCTGCGAACCGTATTCGCACACGTTAAGTCTGGTGTGACTGGTTGTTGAGTTCCTCAAAGTTAAGCTTTATTATTGTTTTTCCTCATGACCCGTATTTGGGACGTAAACGTTGGCGTAAATTGGTGTCTTCAATTTTGGCTAGCAGACAGCTCTCACCACAGTGGTAATAGGTACACCATAAAAATGTCGACGAAGAAATAAGTTTATTTCTAAAATTTCAGATATCTGACTTCACTACAAGACATCTTAATTGGGATATTGAAATCATGTACACCTTATCTCCAAATTGTCATTTGCACAGATCTTCCATGTTATGTTACTCCTACACTTCTTAATATGATTCTTTGTCTTCTTTTCATGTCTCCCATGTTTTACCGCAACGCTGAATTATTTGCTCTCTCAGATGTTAAGTCTATCTCTCCGCTATTTGATATTTTTATGCCAATGAACGCCTTTCTAAGTATGCACTACTGATAAATCTTATCAGTAGCACACGCCTCAGTAGTATTATTTTCATAATACGAATAAAGTATTTTTTTCTGTACAAAATACAAAGACCTTTAAGACTTTGTATTCAACCTCAATGTCTTCCTTTTTGTACAAATGACATAAGAATATACACTAATGGCACAGGGGGCATTTTACACACACGAATATCAGATTCCTATCGGTATACAGAGACAACAAAAAGAGATAATCCTCTATAAACTGGTTATTATTCCATTCGAACCAGTAAATAGATAGATAGATAAATAAATAAATAAATAAACAAACTCGAAGACACTGAATGAATGTATAAATATTATTATATATATAATTTAAAAAAATAAATCATAACACAACATTTTATTAATGCAGGGAAGTACACATGCGATGAATGTGTGATATACATATTCACTCGCACGACAGAAGGAATAAACAAAACTGTATTTGTTTTAACAAGTTTAACAAAACAAGTGAATATTTTGTTCTTCTTTACAAAACCGTTTGATTGATGATATCAATAGGAGAATTAGTAATTCATGAAGATCTAGGGAGAGAGAGAAAAACAAACAAACAGAAAATAAGATTAAATAGAAAAAAAGAGAATGTAATATGTTATGTAATAAATAGAGAATAATTCCTACAACCACAACACATTATCCACCTTACATGGTTATTTATTATTATTATATTATTCCTTTACGTTTTCGAGTGGCAAATGGGGCTTCAAGCTTAAGCTTTGAAGTTTCCGTAACAGTAGGTATTTTACAGGGTAGGGTTGATAGTCTCATGCCCAACCTTACCTCTTTACCAACCTTACTACCGGCTTAGCGAGGTCTCGAAATGCGCCGGCCGCAAATCAAACCCCGGACTACACATAAGGCGTGGGTTAGAGAGCGTTTTACCGCTGAACCACCGTAGTGGTCGGGGTCATCACGTCTGTCTAACACCCACCTTACATACTGATAGGAATAAACTAAGTGAATTATCATTCATCAGATTTAATATTCAGAAGTACGTTGAGGTAAAAAAAGGAGGAATAATTAGTTCAGATCTACATGTGAATGGGTTAAACAAAAAATGAACTCAAGTATAATGAATGGTAATATTCAATTTTGAAAAATGCATATTAATCTATGTGATACAAAACAAAATCATTCCCCAAACTAGTAGTAGTAATAGTAGTCAATACAAATCTCCTGTGAGATGTAGTGCTAACAAAATTTTCTTCTGAGCAAATGCCTTGCATAACACCAAATTTTATGCTAATAGGTATTAGAAAGGCAATACCAGAAAGGCTATGCATATAAGATTCATTTCTTTATAATCGCATACGGTAGAATGCTCGCCAACCACTTCACAGGTGGTTCGGGGTTCGATCCCCAGCAACTGACGCACTCCTTTACCTCGCCAAGACAACAATAAGATTGGTAAAGAGGGAAGGTTGGGCATGATGCTGGCTAGCAACCCCATCCCGTAAAAATAAACACCACTGCTACCGAAACTTCAAGCCTCTAACTTGAAGCCTTATGTTCCACTAGGAACGTAAAGGAATAAAATAATTTTTAAAAAATTATAATGGATGCACAAAATGATAATTTTTGGAGTTAATTACAACTCAGTCAACCGGAACAGAATTTTTATTTACCGAAAAATCAACCAGACATACTGTTATAGCTGATGACATTGCCCAGTTGCCCAAGGTGAGATAACATACACAGTGCAACCCGAACCCAAGACCCATTGGTTAAAAGTTGAGTGTTTAAACCACTAGTGAGATATATCTGCACATTTTAAACGATTCAGTTCTAGAATTTAACCACTAATCATTCAGTGTCTTATTACTTCTAATTAAGAGTTAAACTAAGTGAATTACCAGGTGCGTAAACATTGATACAAAGAACTAAATTCAATTAATTACGTAATAACAAGTGATCATAATTGCCGCGTATAATCCAACTAGAAAAATAGTTTTTCATACATGTAATAGGATGACAGGTTGGTTCTCAATTATAACACTCAGTGCTAAAAGAACTATATTGCTGAGCACTACACTCTATATCTGTCACCAAGATATTCAGGTAGTGATTTATTTTCAATTTGAAATGCGATAATAGAACTGGAAAGAAAAGACATCAACAAGTCAAATTATTGATCAATCATAAACATAGTAAAATAAAATATCAGAATTAATAAAAAATACCGTAAATACTCACCTCGGGTTAAGACCTGATGCAACTAGGCTGGCAGCAGCAGCAAGCCTTGCGTGTACACTGTCGAATGTACTGCTGGATACACCGGGAATACACCCACTGGTGGCAGGTGAAGGGGAGCTGACTGTTTGACCTCCTGAACCAGAAGTCGAATTATTACTACAACTGCCTGTAGTGACACTCGTTGAAGCCCCAGTAGTTGTGCCTCCAATCGACCCAGAAACGTTACCAATAGATGGACCATGTGGAGGAGGAAGTGGAAGGCCTAGGCCAGCGGCCAAACCAGGAGGGAAGAAATTGGCATATGCAGAGACAGGAGGAAGACCAGCTAAGTGAGCTGCGGCGGCTGCAGCAACAGCAGGTGGAGGAGGTAAGGCTGGAATCGTTGTTGGACCACCACTGTTAGTTAAAATACCACCACCGGCATTCGACAGGCCTATTCCTGAACCACCGATTAGATTAGCAGGGAATGGAAGACTGTTAGCACCTACTCCCAAGCCACCGCCTCCGCCTGCTGCAGAAGAAAACAGGCCTGCAGAAAGTCCGAAGGCTGCAGCTGCAGCAGCAGGATGTAGACCACGTGCGGCGCTTTCTAGTCCTGAAGCAACGCTATTATTAAGAGCATTAACACCGGGAATACCTGCTGCAAGGGATAGATGACTGTTATTAAGCAAAGGGTTGTTGCTGATGTTATTTGACAAAGAATTGCTGGAGCAACCATGAGAAAATCCTGATGAACCGGAATTCGGCATAAATTCTTTATTGACACAATTTCGAAGACAGTCTGGAATACGATTCAATATAGCTCTGCGAATTTCATTTGCAGCTGCTTCACGCATTTCACGCATACTTGATTCACTGTAAAATGCCATATGTGGTGTGACAATAAGATTTGGAGCATCTTTTAGAGCACCTGGTTTAGAAAGTGGAGTAAATAATATACAAACGATAAAATTAATTGACATTAAAGATAACTCTTATTAGCATAGGTTCAAAGTTGAATCGAATTGCAAACCAATAGAAATCTAACAATATATTTACTGAGATTATGATTTTAAACAATGGTGTAGTTTTTAAAGATAAAAATAACAACAAAGTCGTTTTTATTACAAAAGATTGATAACAGACAGGAAAATAAGGACTTTCTCTATAGGTAAGAAAATGAAGCATAACATACGCGCCTCAGGCTATACATATCAGGGTTCACACTAGAAAGTTTATGGTTTAAACTCTGCAAAGAAATAATGCAGGCACATGAAGTGTCTAGACATAAAAGAGATAGACTATCATTTTTATTGATCGACAAAATCTGGATGATACCAGTCCTAGTTATTTACTATGTTTTTTCAAGTATGAATTCCAGTTGTTCAGTTTCATGTCTGATGTCAGATAGTTAACTAATAATTCTGTGGATTTCTTTTCTTAGACAAAGCATTATAGAATTGTAAACTTTGTTTAAGAGAAGAAATTTACAGAATTATCAGTAAACTAACTAACCGCCATCAGATATGGATGATACTAGTGTACTACCTCCTAAACTTAGTTGTTGCTTCGAAGGTGAAATTCATCACGAATAAAACTTCCGATCATGAAAGATCTCTGGCTATCTCTACTGATCTGTACAAATTTAGACTATTCGAGGTGTCAATCCATGACCTCATGAATAATCTAACTTAGTACCATGCAGTCTTGTGAAAAGGAGACGTTACTGTTTAACCAATGGCTGACGATTCAATGAGCATTGGTTTCCGAATTCTACAAATTAGCATTACTGAACTATCACTCTTCACCAATCTTCGACTAACATTTCTATACGATACTGTTTCCGACAAGGAAAAATTGCAGCCGTCAAAAACAAAGTACATAAATTCCAATGGAATGGCACATTTTAGAAGAAACAATAGGCATAATACAAAGAAAAACTTACTATTACTCCAAACAAACGGCTCAGTTTCAGTTACATCTAATGCTGCAGCACGAATTCGACCCTCCTTTAAAGCAGCTGCAAGAGCTACTTCATCTATTAAACCTCCTCGAGCAGTATTGATCAAAAAAGCACCTTAAGAGAAAAAACGGGAAAGAAAAGACGTTCAGAGAAGAGTTACTCTTTTTTCAGTGATATCATTCTCAAGCTGTACAATCGCATACATATAGCAAAATTGTCTTAGCAACAAAAGGAATATTTCCAAAAATGTGCCATTAGAATTGTAAATTTTTCAGAACACAACAAAAATAGAAAAATTACATGTTCAGAATAAAAAATACATATAGAAAATGCTTATTTTTAGGTTGATTGATTTGACTGTGTGGGTGTCTCTGACTGATTACTCGACGTAAAACTTTGAGCAAAAGTGAAGCAGTTCAAGCTGTCACATTCTATACAACACACAAAGATAGAGGAGACAATTCAAAAAAAACTATAATAATATGAGTGAAACAGAATGAGTAATGGTAGAAAGGAATATGAAGGTTAAAGAGACTGAATACATCTGCGCCATTGACAACGATTTTGAGCCATGTCACCTATTGTCTCCAGCCATTGATTCTTAGAGTCCCGAGGGCGGGCCCCAACCCGGAAGTCTGCATCTCCCTACCTGACTTAGTTTAACTGTCAAGGATTTCATGGATTGATGAGGCCGTGTTTTTGTTTGGCCACCACTTACTCTTTTCCAACCTGCGCCTATATCAGCTAGTAATGCCCGTCGGGGGAGGCGATGGCTAGGCATGCGCAGCACGTGACCTAGCCATCTCAATCTATGTAACTTTATAGCCTCTTCGATTGATTTTCCCTCTTTGCCCAACACTCTACGCCTAACGTCAACATTACTTACCCTATTATACCACCTAACGTGAGAAAAAGATCGTAGACATCTATGATCAAAAACACTCAACCTTTTCATGTCTTCAACTCGTATTGGCCATGTTTCAGAGCCATAGAGAAGGACGGAGCGAACTGCTGAGCAGTACACACGTCCCTTGGTTGATAGTCGGATGTCACGCCTACGCCAGAGATGGTGTAAGTTAGCGAAAGCAGCTCGAGCTTTTTGGATCCGTGCTGAGATTTCGTCACCAATCAATCCGTTGGTGCTGATGATGCAGTTATCGAAAAGAGTATTCTTTGTTTAGTTATCATTCTTTTCAAAATTTTAATGGACATTTTGAATCAGCAAAAAGAATAGTAATAGGGGAGAATAATAGAATTTTATTGGATATGATAAATCACAAAGAGTGAATGCATCTGCGCCAGCTATTGAGAACGACTTTGAGCCATATCACCAATTGTCTCCAGCCTTCATTGGTTTTCACTATCCCGATGACCCCAACCAATCAGGAAGTCTACATCTCCCTACGTGGCTGGCTGGCTGGCTTAAACTAACAGCTATGGATTTCATTGACTGATGAAGCCATGTTGTAGTTTGACCACCACTAGCTCTTTTCTAACGTGATCCTATGTCAGCTAACATTGCCCGTCGAGAAAGGCGATGGCTAGGCATGTGTAACACATGTCCTGACCATCTCAATCGGTGTATTTTCACAACCTCCTCGATTGATCTCCCATTCTTACCTGGTTACGGAAGTCTTAGTGACATTCCTTATTGGAGGACTAATTCCTATTGATAAACTAAAGTACGCATTGACTAACTGGTTATATTAAATGTTACAGAAGGTAGTCAGTTAAACAGTAACCATGCTATTAAAAATGAGACATTATAATGAAGAGCTTACCTGGTCTCATTAACTTTATTGTATGCTCATTGATCATATGACGATTCTGTTCATTAAGAGAACAATGCAATGTAACACAATCACTTTGAAATAGAAGATCTTGCAGGCTGTAAACACGTTCGATACCTAGCGATCGTTCAATTCCATCTGGTAGATAAGGATCATAAAATGTTACATGAAATCCAAAAGCCTGAGCTCGTAGAGCAACAGCCGTCCCAACTCGACCTAAAAATACACAAATATATACATAATTGGAAAAATGAATGAATCGAGAGGTTCTCTGAAAAACAGACTAATACAAATACCTGAACTGAAATAATTATAACACGATTATTATTATTGTTCCCTTGGGTTCCTAGTGGAACATGGGGCTTCAACTACACGTCTCCACTTGCTTCTGTCTTCTGCTGTACTTTTCACCTGCATCCATATTAATCCATACTGTTTCAGCTCCTCTTCACACGATCTTCTCCATGTCACCCTTGAACGTCCCACTCGCCGCTTCCCTTTCCCGTTCCACTCGAGCTATGGCCTGACGTGCGATGTCACAAAACAGCCTCCTCAGCGAGTGTCCAATCCATCTCCACTTTCTCCTGCATATATGTTGAGCGATTGATTCTTGTTTTGTTTGTTCCCATAGTTTCTTGTTGGTGATTCTTTCCGGCCATCTGATTTTTAGTATAGAGCTAGATTACTAGCTCGCTAGTTTTCTAGCCGGTCTCAAGCCCGGACAAAGAGGAAGGGTTGGGGCGTGGTGCTAGCAACTCCACCTCGAAAACTTAACCAAATTGCTACAGAAACTTCAACGCATAAATATATTAAAAATACTAAAAAAAAATTATAACACGATGGAAAGGGTAAATTGTACTATGATACTGTTTGCTATGCTTCTAACCAGAGTATCTACCTTGGTTGCTTACAATCTACAAATGTAAACCAGAAACTCTGGTGTCTGTAGTAATTGTTGTAAATAAACCTAACTATGAGATGTTAATACGAATTCCAATTAAGGTAATTGAAAAAAAAGCGAAATATGATGGTGCGAAAAAGTAGACTGAAAACAGATTTAAGAAAAAACAAAAAAAAACTAAAAACGGTTATTGATCTAAAAACTTAGTAAAACATTGTTATCAGAAGTAATCTTCATGAAACCAGGTTAACTGACTAACTTATTAATTACCACACCCAAAAGTAACGAAACACTTAAGAAACTGAAGGAACATATGTAGTGTTTTATTAAAGACATACGGGTTATAAATAAAGGCTTTTTATACTAAATTTAGGTGCTTTACGCACTGATAAACATCATGCTTAAGTTGACATCAATAAACAGAGAATAAACTGCTATCATAAAGTTAAGTTGTTTAGACGTACACATTTATTACTTTAAAACAAATCAACTACAAAAAAAACCTAGAAGAAATCTAAAATAATTTACAAGAAATGATATACGCAAAGCTTTGCGATATTTTCTTATCTTTCAATTGTTTTCCTCTTATGTAAAGATCTAAGATTTACAAGAGTTTGTTTGTAGGGATTTGAGTTATTTCAAGCTTGACCTCAGATTGATATCAGTTAGAGAACCCTTGTAAACCAGGGAGTACTGTCAGACAGCTGTTTTGTCTTAGTTTGCAACTCAGTGGCTGAATAGTTTACAAGCTTCCCTAGTAACCAGAAGGTCATAGGTTCGAACCCCAGTAGGTGAGCATAGCCGTTGAGTCCTAAACTAGGACGAAACAGCTGTCTGACAGTACTGCCTGGTTTTCAATGGTTCTCTATCCGTGATCAAACTTGAGAGATCTAGGAGTTCAAGAACTACATTCATATGAAAATAAATTTGAAAAATATATCCACAAAGCTCATTACATTAGATAACAATTTGAGATAGATAATTGGTTTGTGTATTCTATACCAGTTAAATATTACCATTTTGGACAGATTTTAAACTGTTACAAAGGATGAGCTAATTGTGCGAATACTATATATTTTTTATATTTCTAGGGATATATATTTTCTACGATAAAAGGAGTGAGTCACTCTGTTTGCACCTGTTGAAAATTACTCTGATGAGTAAAAGTTAATTTGTTTATAATTTTTATTCATTTCACCATGTTATAATCCTTTTCTGAACACAATTTCCATAATTACCTACAGTCATTAGCACAGTAAAACCTGAATTATTTATCTCATTAAGATTTATTATTTCATAAAAAAAAAATTCTCCACATTGTTAAACGTATGGAACCAAGTTCAGCGCTGAGACAACCCCACTGCATAAAGTCTGACTAAGAAAAAAAATCTAAAAACAAAAAACATAAACCTATGTGACTTTACAGATGGAATGTTATCCTAAATTAGTGTATGTAATATTCTTCTGCCGAAGAACTGTGGTAGCTTGTAAGTACTGACAACACAAGTTACTAAGCTATGTTGTATGGAGACGTGGTGCACTGGACTCAGAGCTCGACATTCAGTCAATGCGTCCTGGGCTCGGATCTTGCTCCGCTTACTTCAGCCTCAGCAAGCTTCACACAATAACTGTGGCTTATAGACTGGAACATAAAAGAACTGTTCCGGGAATTGAGTTTAAATTGAAGATATAATGTAAATAACAACCATATCTGATAGGTAAGAGAATGTCTGTGAGCCATTTGGCAGTAGCAGGATATGGGGAATTTGTCATATCCAAGATTGGACGTAGTGGTACGAATCGATTATCCGCTCATAATTATTTGAGCAAATGCAACCAACCCTCAGGTTCCGTGATTTCCCGTTTATATGGTCTGCCGAAAGTGCACAGAGAACATTCAATCTTGGATATGACAAATTCCCTATATCATGCTATTGCCAAATGGCTCGCAGACATCCTCCTACCTATCAGAAATAACCGTATCTGTCAATAAAAGGTTTTATGAACGCTTAGTTTATACCGATAGAAAGATTGAAATGAGAGTTAATCACCCAAGGAAAAGGTAACTCTGTATATAAGTCAAAAGAGCTATGCCACTGAGAACAAGTAATCACATGCCCATACAATCCAACGATAGGTATATTTGAAGATAACACATACACTTAACATATACTTTATAATATTGGATACTTCAATATCTGATTAAATGTCAAATAACTTAATAGAGAATATACCGAAGACCTGCAAATAACTGTGGAGTGTAAAAAAAGCATCGAGAATACTTCCAGTTTAACTGTTCATTTACATCCTTACTTAGCATTGCTTCGAATTCACACATGTAGTAACACTCTTTTCCATAAACGTTATTAAAAATGAGTGTACTTGAGTCAATTTATTGGTAAACTTGTATAAACCCAAACTTTAAGCGGTCCTTGGGCTTGCACAGTACAGTGGTCCCGGATATGCTGGCTAAAAATAATGTTCTTAAAATCTTATTATTACAAAAGGTTGATTGGATAGTGGTTACCACAATAATGAATGTTGCTTGCACAATGTAGGAGTCTGAGAGCAAATGCGTTCAGTTAGAGAGTCGACATCTAGCAGAGAGACTAGCAAACTAACTATGCTTTCTTCCAGCTCTGTAAGCGAAGACTCACAAAAGATCAGCTTCAAAATTCATACATCCGGACTTACCCTACGGCGGTCACAACCAACGGTAATGCCTCATCTACGGATGAAGCTCCACCTCCATGTGTAGCCGACCTTAAATAGTAGTTCCTCAAGAGATTTGGTGGTAAGAAACTTATCCTCTTTTCCGTCAGATATTCGAAAATAATCAACTTCCATGGTGTGGGTGTCCGGAAGCTGCAAATGTTCACACAGTTCCATAAGCACCCAAAATCCTTGTGTTCATCATGCCTCCACCTTTTTTGCTTTTCTCCCGCCCATACTATTGTTCAGCTTCTTCACCTATTTTCTGGCCATTGCTAGCTGATGGAGTCCGAGAAACACCAACCTAAGCCTACTAAGAGCACAATGCCAACTTCACATCGGAGCTTACAACACCAGACTTTACACAGATTTACAGATCCCTAAAACAACGAATTTAAACTCTTCACTAGATCTGAGGTAAAGCTTCGAGACAAACAGGTTAGCATGAAATGTGTACAGATGCACATTAGGCAACTCTAAACAATAGGAACCCAAAACGAAACGACCTACGAACGCACAAATGACCTTGAGCAACCGATCAGGTGACTGTTTTTTCCAGCAATAGGTTTTAGGGATATATGACACCAGCCTCCAGAAAGGACATATTGAGGCGACCCCTAAGCGCAGGGCATGTGTATTATTGCCTATTATCTAGCGCTTAGTGCTGCCTGTGACGACTATTGTCGTTGTTTTGGGCCTTCTGATTGGTCATTGACGAGGTCATTTGTGCGTTCGTAGGTCGTTTCGTTTTGGGTTCCTATTGTTTAGAGTTACCCAACTTTGTTTGGTGAAAAGACATTTGAACCGGTGACCAACTGGTTGAAAACCGAATATCTATCCCACTACACCATGATGCAGCACAGACCACCTACACATCATAACATGGCTTAAGCACACAACCACTTAACAATGGTTGCTTCAATGACATCTACGATGTGTATTGATATCTATGTCTAAGGTCAACTGAATGTTGGAAACTACAGTCTGTCCCTATGACATAGGAGTGTTCAAGCTTTATCTAGTTTATGGATTTATTTCTCAGGCCGCACATGGTATTTCCTCGTTGTGTCCAGTTAGCCTTACAGCCAACAATGTGAACGCATATGGTGATAGTCCAAAAGGTTAATGTCATCTATACCTTGAATATGTTGACCAGTTGTTACATTGTACGATTTGCATGTCTCCGTGTACCGGTTTCTGAAACCATTAGTGCAGACTCTACAAGCTAGACAGTTAACTTTTCTGAAGTCGGCAATACGTTCTGTTAGTTACAAGACTATAAATGCAATATGTAGCAGCTCGTTTCATTCCTAAACCATGCTGCAATACTAATATAAGCAATCAGAGTTAAAGGAATGATATAGATCTATCATTATCTTTGTTCGAGTAGCGCTGAAGTGAGGTACAAAGTCCAAGTTATAATGTCTAGACGGTCAACAATATGTTATGTTCATCATGGTCTTTTCTAGTGCACAATGCTAGCCGACTGGCACATAATAAGAGGACACATTTAGTGATACTATAATAGTAAAATAACAGTGCAGAAAGATGTTCAGAACTTCGGTAATAACATGTGAACAACTTAGAACGAACTCAACAAGACTCTAACTACTAATTCTCATAATCCTAAGCACCTTAGGTCAGCAAACCTACAAAACTCAACACGGCACAAATATTAGGCCAAAAACTTATCCTATGTGCTACAGGGAAGTGAAAGTGGCATGGTTACAGCCGTAGACATCAATACGTCAGGAAGGCAAGGTAACAAAGCAACAGCATCAGGCACTGCGTTGCCGTGGATGTCAGTCTTCGAAGTGGATTCATATATTATTCATTCCTTTAAGATCTCGAAACCCATGTGCACAATTCATCTGAAATTAAAGTCTGCCACGTAACCCAAGTGAACCATCCCCATCTACCACTTTACTGACAAGACCTAACTATTCACATTCAGCATCCCACCATTATGAAACCGTGTCAACGACGTGGAAAAGCAGCGAATCGTAATAACATGGCAGAGGTTATTGTCACGTGACCATATGAAAATTCGAAAGGAAAGTGTGAGTATACCTGAAAATCTGTTCCTAAAGATCACATATGAAAGTTAACTACTTAGAAAGCTTAGTATACTGTAGACAATGTGTGATGCGTGAGGTAACAGCAAATTGCTATGATCCGAACAATCGACAGGAATCACTGATTTAAAATGCTAGAAAACACTTCTGGCAATCAACCGCAATGACACCGAAGCATTTCTTGTCAAAACCCACTATACATTTTCAGCCGTATCCTTCACAAATTATAGTATTTATAGTTAAAGTTCACCTCCGCACAGGTATTGTGTAGCTAGATAGCGGTATCTACGACAAGCACTTCCTGTCTTTCGCTAGTGGTCAGAAAGAACATAGTGGTGAACACAACTGCAAGCTATACAAGACCATTCGACAGACAATCATAGAAACATTCCAACACCCCCCCCCCCACTATAGAACCTGGGAAGCTTTTATTTTATTTATTTATTTTATTTTGGTTACAGCTTGATGCCACACCGTATTTTCAGTACAAGTATGGCATTTTCAGCATTGATATCGGTAGCCCAAATTTTGCAGGCCGACCATAGATATCGGGTGTGCGCCGGCAGGGGATCGAACCTTGGACCATGTGCATGGTCGGCGAGAGTCCTAACCACTGTGCCACCGACGCTTTTTCCAGTCAGTCGATGTTATGATCTTTAGCCAGGTACAAACTAAAGCAGTTTACGAAAATGGTAAAGTACGATTTGTAAGATTTATGGAATGTGTAACAATGTCAATACAGCGAAGGTCATTCAGTCGTTGAAGACAAAAAAACATACCGACTAGTGCTATCAACGAATTATCACACTACAAACACCAAACAGGAGGTCTGATTTTCTATGAGTAATTTAATAAGAGATTTGGTGGTACATTTACCACACTAATCCTACCACAGTGGTTAACAAAGGTTTCCGAACAGACTAATGACTTATAGAATAGGATTTTGTACACTAAACATGAAAATAATAAGCTAGTTACAAGACATTAACACAAAACAAGTCACTTCACTATTTACACAGTAAACAATCAATTTAGTCTGGAAAGCTTACCTAGTCCCACAATGCCAAGTGTATCTCGCCGTATCCGAGCTGATCCATTCGCAACTTCTTTTAAATGCTCCGGTCCATTAATCCGTTTGCCCATTTGAAGACTGTTTGCAAGCCAATAAGTACGACGATACAAGGTCAAGATATGACAAAGGGTAGTGTCTGCAGACTCTTCAACTCCAAAACCTGGAACGTTACAGACAGCAATACCAAGTTCTCCAGCTGCTTTTATGTCAATGTTGTCATAACCACTAAATTTAAGAACAATCCATGAATAAAAGAACGAGAATGCAATATTATTGTGGCATCAGGGCAACAATTACATGCAGAACAATAATATAGTTTAATTAACAGTGATATAACATGCATATACAACAAATGTATACATTAATACCGAACGTACCTCCCTATTCTCACAATAATCTTTAAAGATTTGAACTTCTGAAGATCCTCACGTGTTAATGAAATAGTATGCCACATTAGAGCTCCAACAGCTTCTTCAAGAACTTTCCCGTGTATTTCGCTGGTTGATGATGCGTCACAAAAAGCCACCGTAGCTACATCTTTCAGTAAAGGCATCTCAATGGTGCAATCACGTCCATCTAGAAGAGCGACAAGTGGTTTGGCCGGTGGAGGTCCATTAGAAGAACGATGTAGAGACATTGGAAATCCTTAACAAATCCAAAATTCAGTAGAGTCCAACTTAGTAAACGAAATTTGATAAACTGTGAACAGCGTGAGCAAAACAAAGCGAGTAGGAGAGCACGAGATTAGTGACGCAGCGGAATGACAGGCGAAGTGATATTTTCATTTTCAAGTAAATCTTTAGTTTACCGGGGGTCTTTAACATATATGTTAATGAGATTTTTAACCCACCCCTATTTTAATCGTTCTGCCGTCTAAAAGCATTAGCAAATCGAAGTCATGCAAATTGTTGGGGGGTGACAACGTTTACCGGAATAAAACTCAATTGGAGGTTTGTTATTTCCGTATGATATGGAGAATCCCGATTAGTCATCATTTATATAAATATATTATATCTGCTCTCTCTCTTTCTCCTTATATAAATGTAGTGTTGACCTTCCGAGCTATTGATTTTCATACCCAGTTAAGCCACAATAGTTTTGTTTATTGTTTGTTAGTCTGATTTTGGTCTGCAGTTTGTTATTACAGTTATCATTAACATGGTGTGTCTGCCCTCATTAACTTGCATCACATGTTTTTGTATGCCCGGTAGGGTGAGAGGGTTAAAAATTAACACCACGACAATATAACAATAATAATTAATATTATTATTATATTGCTAGTCCAAATAATGCTTTTTACCTGACCTCAGGTTGTTGATTGGTCATTTTTATAAAGAGAACTTTCATTAAAACAGCTTGATGATGATGCATGTGTTAAATGTATCAGTGAAGCCACATGATTTAAAAAACTTCAACTGCCTATGGAATATTTAGACAAAGGTGACCTCAGCTTAAAATACACCAGTTTCAAAAATTAGTCCCTGTACTAAATGTGATAACTTGCAATTTAAATGTCATGATACACTACAATATTCCAAATGACTTCATCAGTTAACCAATCAGTGCTAGCGACCTAGAATACTTTTCATAAAATATAAAAGTAGCTTACTACACAAAATCATAAGAACCCGGTATAATCGTAAAATACTGACGACTACTACTGTTATTATATTTATTTTTTTACTTATTTTTTGTTGTTCGAACCAGTTGATCCTTAGATAAGTTGTTCTTCACCATAACTGAATGTAAACCAAATATATCCTTTAACTGAATTTTAGATTTTCCCGTCGATTGATTGGACCGAAGTGCTCGGTCTCAGGTTGATATGTCGGCTTCTTGTGCAGATGCTTCGACGATGTCTGGGCATTTAATTTGTATTTGATTGGTGGATAGTGACTAGCAGTGGAATCCAGGATGCGCGTTTCGTCCTATTTGGGACTCGTCAGCTGGATGTACCTGCATTTCTCAGTGAGTGATGATGTTCCCACCGATTTGCACAAGAAGCCGTCATGTCAACCTGAGACCGAGCACTTCGGTCCAATCAATCGACGGGAAAATATAAAATTTAATTAAATTAATATGACCCGTTGTACAAGAGGTGGCTCTCGTGGCCCAAGTGGTCTAGTGGATAACCTTTTGGCGTTTGAAACTATGGGCACTGGGTTCGAGCCTCGGTGGGAACATCACTCACTGAGAAATGCAGGTACATCCAGCCGACGAGTCCCAAATAGGACGAAATGCGCATCCTGGATTCCACTGCTAGTCACCATCCACCAATTAAATACAAATATATCCTTATTACACATCCCTTTTTAAATGACCAATAAACACATCCATTATTCAGTTTTCATTGTTGGCCAAACTTGCTGGAATATCTCTGAATTATTAGGCTACTATCCATGTAATAGGTGATAATCGGAGATGAAACGAGAAAAATCGGGTTCCTCTCGGATTCGAAACCGTAGTGTCCAGATTACTAGCTGATTCATTACAGTTATTATATTTGATTTCAATGAGGATGAACACTCTTTTTATTTTTTTATTCCTTCACGTTCCCCAGTGGAACATAGGGCTGCAAGCTAGAGTCTTGAAGTTTCTGTAGCAATGTTTATTTAACAGGATGGGGTTGCTAGCTTCATGCCCAACCTTTCCTCTTTACCAGCTTTATTTCTGACTTAGTGGTGTAAAGGAGTGCGTCAGCCGGGGATCGAACCCCGGACTATGTGCATGGTCGGCGAGCGTCCTAACCGCTATGCCACCGACGCACTCATTATTCAATTATTATTGACTAACTTTCACTGATATCAAGTCAGTGCTTCTATATGGTTCAGAGAATTGGTTCTATTGCAGACTTGACTTTTATCAACAGATGCTTTCGTTCGTTAGTGAAAGTCAAATGGCTCTTCCGCCAGAAAGCATAAACAACAAGCAACTCTGCGCGTCAAATCAACAGTAAACCTATCGGCCAATATACTTACAGAAGGAAATGAGGTAACTCTAAACAATAGGAACCCAAACCGAAACGACCTACGAACGCACAAACGACCTTGTTAAGGACAACTTCGACCAATCAGAAGGCTCAAAAATACGGCTCATAATTGTAAAAAATCGTTTATATAAAAGTAAAGCAATGTTAAAAAATAGTTACAAAGGATAAAGTTCTTGTATATGTTGCAAAAAAGCTCCCAGTTTCTCAAAGGAGTCTTTATACTCATGTTAAACCAACTTCTGTACATAAACTCATCCAGATAACTGTATATCATTGGATTTCTTGATGCGTTCACGAATCTAATCCTTTTTTTCAGGTGACTCCAGAAACTTTCGATGCAATTAGTATGAGTTCCATCGAAAAGATTGCGAAAACCGTCTGTGTGTGATTGACTACATGATGAATATACCCGAGATTCGACAATTGACCATAACTGCTCCATTCGTCTGTGTGAATAATGGTCCCAGGCAGCACTAAGCACTGGATAATAGTCAATAATACACCAGCACTGCGATTAGGAATCGCAGTAAAGGTGTAGAGCATCCATAATTAATTCTAGAAATAACCGAGTCACCTGATTGGTTTCTCAAGGTCGTTTGTGCGTTCGTAGGTCGTTTCGGTTTCGGTTCCTATTGTTTAGAGTTGCCGGAAATGATGATGAATAAGACATGGTCTAAGAAGAATGTAGAGTAACACTGTCCACCAGGTCGATACTGGTGGAGCAGAACCTAAATGGGAAAATATGGAAATCGTGTGAAGAGGGAATGAAAGCTTATAGGTAAGCGTTAGAAACAGAATGAAGTGACGATGTGCTGCTGCACACAGCACTATTTTACTCTATAAACCCAAGGGACGAGTCATACATAAGTACGTCGGTGGCTCAACGGTAGAATGCTGGCCGATCATGCATGTGGTCCAGGGTTCTCTACCCCCTACCGGCGCACACCTTTACCTCCCCTGGATGGTTGTAAGCCCTACAAAGGGGGAAGGTTGGGTGTAAGGCTAGGAACATCACTCCGTAGAAAACACCATTGCTACTGAAACTGCAAAGCTCATATTTGAAGTCCCATGTTCCACTCGACGACGCAAAGGAACAAAAACAATATACATTGTTGTAAGATCCAACTGACAAACGATTATCTGTATAAAAGGAAAAAATCAAATTTTTTCTGGAAAATTTGAAATTGGTATACTTCGAGGTAATCACTACTTGTGTAAAAAGCAGTTCAATCATAATAAACACAGATAAGTCAGTCATAACTGACACCTTAAGACAGCTGAGAAGTACGCTGTCTATCCTCACTCACTATCCATATCAATGTAGGGTAGGTTAGAAGAAAAAAAGCAATGATTAGGTGAAAAATGATGCAGCAAACCATGGATTTATTGATTACTGATATTGAGCCATATTAGGTGAGTATAGATTGGATGTTTGAAGTTTGTAAGATTAATTGAATCGATGGTGAAGTTGTGTCTCGTAGTTGATAGGCTTCAGAATTGATCTTAATGACGCAAATACACCCAGGTATATTATCTTTGCTTCATCGGTGAAACCATAATTTTCTTTGCTTCTTTTTTATTGTGCTTTGCCTTTTTCTTTTACTTTTTTTTCTAGTGGAGATGATAATTTCTTCTATTTTTTATTTCCATGCATACTATCTTTTATTTATTGTATAGATGTTAGGCATGGAAACCCAGACAGTTATCTTGTAATCCTAAACACTATGATCTTGGTTTTTGTCTGTCTGTCTGTTTATCTATTTATCCATCAATCTATTCTAGCACCAACAGTAAGTTTGTATTTTATCATGGAAAGGAGCATCCTCCTAACTCTATTTTTTTTATTCCTTCACGTTCCCAGGGGAACATAGGGCTTCAAGCTAGAGTCTTGAAGTTTCTGTAGCAGTGTTTATTTAACAGGATGGGGTTGCTAGCCTCATGCCCAACCTTTCCTCTTCACCAGCATTATTTCTGGCTTAGTGAGGTAAAGGAGTGCACCGGCCGGGGATCGAACCCCGGACCATGTGCATGGTCGGCGAGAGTCATAACCGCTGTGCCACCGACGCACATGCAACGTCAATAGCTGGGATATTTGCCATACTATACACGAAAATACATCTCAACAGCTTCCATCCCCCTCCCCCCTCTTACTAACAATGAATATCGCTCTGAAAATACGCTCGTTATTGGGTATGACAAATTTAAACAATGAAAATGTTCAGTTGGATGAAGTTTACATTGAACTTTGACCAATTAAATATGTGAATGCCTAACATATACAATGAAATGATTACAAGGTGTTGACGTATCTAAAAAAATACGATGACACTGGATCTGAAATAGTGGTCTTCAGCTAACTGATGTGATCATTTATCAATTCAACCATTAATGAATAATTATTACATTCATTTCAGAAGCCATATTGTGGTGGTGTGATACCTTTGGCTTCCGTGTCTTGCCCTTTGTTGGTACATTTGGTGTCTCTGACTGCCGACAAATGGAAAGCCTATGCCCTGCAGTTTTTGAAGGCGACATATAGATCTTCTGGCAGGACTTCAAGGCTGTTGCGTGGTTGAATGTTATCCATGATCCGTCAGCGATGAGGCTGTTACTTGGAACGCTGCTGGCAGCATATGATAGTGTGAGGCGATACTAGCCTAGGTCATGCAAACTGCTTCCAAAGTGGGAAGGACCATACATAGTCACTGTGAGATGGGTTCACGCATATGCGATCAGAAATGTAAACAAAGAGATCGGGTGAATGTCAGCGAGCTTCGGTACTCGATACAGCAAGACAAGCTAACAAAGCCGCCAGCAGCAATGAGATCGAAAAATTTTGGTGGGGGACGAGTGTGGTGGTGTGATACATTTGGCTTCCGCAACTTGCCTTTTGTTGTTACAATATGTTTTATTCTTTCTTTATACAAAAAAAAATTATTCAAGACAGTTAAACCCTTTCATCTCTT